CGCACATAATGGGAAAGGTTTTTATCCTTGGAAATGAGGACAAAAGTCCTAATGTTACAATGGTCAAATACATGTACAGCTGCAAGAAAACTCCCCTTGGGAGTTTTGCATGAATTGGGCATAAAATGTGCTCTGAACGTCATCTAAGTCACAACAATAGAAGAACACAGTCTGCTGAACATAATACTACACAAACATTAGATGTTGCCATGGTTTAATTGCACATAACATGTAAACATTCACAGTGCAGGGAGGAAAAAGTATGGGAACCTTTGGACTTAATAACTGGTTGACCCTCCTTTGGCAGCAATAACCTCAACCAAACGTTTTTCCTGTAGTTGCAGATCAGACCTGCACAACGATCTGGAGTCATTTTGGACCACTCCTCTTCACAAAACTGTTTCAGTGTAGCAATATTCTTGGGATGTCTGGTGTGAATCGTTTCTCTTAAGGTCATGCCACAGCATTTCAATGGGGTTTGAGGTCAGGACTCTGACTGGGCCACTCCAGAAGGCGTATTCTGTGCTGTTGCAGCCATTGTTTTGTTGAATGACTTGTATGCTTTGGGTCATTGTCCTGTTGCATCACCCATCCTCTGCGGAGCTTCAGTTGGCGGACAGATGGTCGTACGTTACGTTTTCCTGCAAAATGTCTTGATAAAACTCTGGAATTCATTTTCCCATCAATGACAACAATCCGTCCAGGCCCTGAGGCAGCAAAGCAGCCCCAAACCATGATGCTCCCTCCGCCATGTTTCACAGTGGGGATGAGGTTTTGATGTTGGTGTGCTGTGCCTTTTTTTTTTCTCCACACATAGTGTTGTGTGTTCTTCCCAAACAACTCAATCTTGGTTTCATCTGTCCACAGTATATTCTGCCAGTAGTGCTGTGGAACATCCAGTTGCTCTTTTGCAAACTTCAAACGTGCTGCAATATTCTTTTTGGACAGCAAATGGCTTCCTCCGTGGTGTCCTCCCATGTACTCCATTCTTGTTTAATGTTTTCCTTATTGTAGATGTGTCAACAAAAATGTTAGCATGTGCCAGAGATTTCTGTAGGTCTTTAGCTGACACTCTGGGATTCTTCTTTACCTCATGCAGCATTCTGCGCTGTGCTCTTGCAGTCATTTTTACAGGACGACCACGCCTAGGGAGAGTAGCAACAGTGCTAAACTTTCTCCATTTGTAGACAGTCTGTCTTACCGTGGACACATGAACATCAAGGCTTATGGAGGCTTGATGTTTTTTTAATTAAAGAACATACTGTATGCTAATTATTATACTAAATGAGCTTGTGCTGAAAATTGCCTCCAGTATTGCTCCTACTTCTTCTTTCCTACTTCTTCTTTCTGGTGGCCGTAGTTTTTGTTGAAAGCCAGAGCAGTCACTACTTTATTGAAAACTCCCTCCATTTTCCTTAGTCTCAAAAAACTATATGTCACTTTCTGTAGTTAAAATGTGTACATTTCCGGCCTGATTGTTTGTCTTGGCTAAGCTAGAGAGGAAGGCTGATAGAAGCTTTAGAGTGCTGAAGTCATTCACATCCTGCTGATGAGGGAGAAAAGAGATTAGGGAGATAAGACACTATCCTTGTGAGTTTAACTCTTTTTTTGTGCCTCTTTGGCAGTAGAGCTTGTCCTGTCACCTCTGCTGCTTTTCTTTTCTCCCTCCCTGTGGTCCCTCTGCAGAGTCTGTACCATTCCTGTGTTTTTTCTCCCCCCCCCCTCAGGAGTAAATCTTGAGGCTCTCAGCAGATCGGCCTCTGGTGACTCACTGATTATCGGCCCAGTGTTGAGAATACAGGACAACTGAGCATGTGCAGTGAGCGAGACTAGATTTTAAACAGATTAGGCACTTATTTTTAATATTTTACAGGGGGTCAGCCTGAAGTTATTTATCAGGACTTAATTTTCTGGCTAAAAGTTCCACTTTAAGTGACATCTTTCCAATAATTAGTAGACCATGTTTACCTTTAGCTGAGAACTGGCTGGATTAGAGGATAATTGTCATAGCTCTCCTTCTTTCCTTCCTTCCTACAATGGTATTAAAGCTTCTTTTTTTAAAATGTGAATTATTATGGCATACACACACACACTATAAAGCGCAAAATTCCTACTAAATGTGACTCTGCCATGGGGCTAGCAGTGCTGTGCTCTCCTTTCAGAACACTAGTGATGTAGCAATGTAAAGTCTTTGAGCTCCAGCCATTGATTCAGGAATTACAAATCCCGGAGAAAGATGAAAAAACACCATTCTCTGCTCAGAACTGACATTCTTGAATCCCACATTCTACATATGTGCAAATCCCGTGTCACTTTCTCCTACTTTTTCACAGTGGCAGGGCCTCTCACTGCCACAGAGGATATTGAAAATGGTATTGATATAAACACATACACCCACGCAGGTTGAACTGGATAGACTGGTGTTGTTATTCATACTTACCAACTACATAACTATGTATCTCTACACTCTATACATGAACAACACCTAGTAAATCTTTGCAAATACTCATATCTGCTATGCAGTCATATTGCATTTTTTACACCTATTATATGCATTGTTGGAGCAAAGCCAAACCAAACCCTAAATACTTTCTTAGGCTGGCCACAGACAGATCTTTTTTTTTTTTAACCACCCAGCCAGCTGATCAAAAAGAAAACAAATATAGCCCCTATCCACACATCCAAGGTGGATGACGGAACCCTTCCTGCTGTGCTATTGCATTGTGACAGTGGGGACTCCATTGTAAGAATACACTCATCAGTGCTGCAGCCAGTTGGCTTCATGTGCTGATCAAACATACATTTCCCGACAGTCCCATTCAAGAGTTGAACACTAAATTGACTCTTCCTGAAGGGAAATGGCCATAGACCAGCAATGGGCAAACTACGGCCCGCGGGCCGTATACGGCCCGGCGGACCTTTTAATCCGGCCCGCGGAGCTAGGCTCCCGCTAGGCTCCTCTCACAGTCCGCCCTGAAGACCGGGTGTAGCATGAAAATCTGTCTCCTATGAGGATCTGTCCCCCCGACGTATCTGCGCATGTGCCGGAGATCGCCGATCGGCTGCTAATGCCTGAAACTGGCACATGCGCAGATACGTCGAGGGGGACAGATCCTCATAGGAGACAGATTTTCATGCTACACCGGAACGGCGCGGGAACACGGCGAGAGGAACGCGCGGAGCAAAGGTAAGTGAATTGACACAGGGGGGACTTGGGGACTTAATATGGGGGATGAATTAATATGGGGAATGAATTACTATAGGGGGGATGAATTACTATATGGGGGATGAATTACTATGGGGGATGAATTACTATATGGGGGATGAATTACTATAGGGGGGATGAATTACTATGGGGGATGAATTACTATATGGGGGATGAATTACTATGGGGGATGAATTACTATATGGGGGATGAATTACTATATGGGGGATGAATTACTATATGGGGGATGAATTACTATATGGGGGATGAATTACTATGGGGGATGAATTACTATGGGGGATGAATTACTATATGGGGGATGAATTACTATATGGGGGATGAATTACTATGGGGGATGAATTACTATATGGGGGATGAATTACTATATGGGGATGAATTACTATGGGGGATGAATTACTATATGGGGGATGAATTACTATATGGGGGATGAATTACTATATGGGGGATGAATTACTATAGGGGGGATGAATTACTATGGGGGATGAATTACTATGGGGGATGAATTACTATATGGGGATGAATTACTATATGGGGGAATTAATTATATGGGGGATGAATTACTATGGGGGATGAATTACTATATGGGGGATGAATTACTATATGGGGGATGAATTACAATGGGGGATGAATTACTATATGGGGGATGAATTACTATATGGGGGATGAATTACTATGGGGGGATGAATTACTATGGGGGATGAATTACTATATGGGGGATGAATTACTATGGGGGGATGAATTACTATGGGGGATGAATTACTATATGGGGGATGAATTACTATATGGGGGATGAATTACTATGGGGGATGAATTACTATGGGGGATGAATTACTATATGGGGGATGAATTACTATATGGGGGATGAATTACTATATGGGGGATTAATTACTATGCTTACTATGGGGGAATATTACTATACTTACTATGGATGACACATACAACATCATTCATCTACTCTTGGTCCGGCCCCCCGGGTCCAATATATGAACCCATTGCGGCCCTCAAGTCAAAAAGTTTGCCCACCCCTGCCATAGACAGATCTAAATTTAGCCGGTCCCTACTGAACAGGTCAATCAATCCATCTATGGCCAGTTTTATTCTGCTACTCATAATAGAGCTTCCAATTAAAATATACCTATGTATTTACTGTCTTCTTTTCCTTCATCAGCACGGTGGTGTTGTTGTAGTCAGGGGTTTAGGCTTGGAGATCAGTAGCTATAGCACTAGAGAGGCTCCCTCTGATCAGCAAGATAAGCACACAAGCAGGTGATGTGGCTTACCCGAGGTGCAGGGTCCAAGTACTAACCAGTATCTCCCAGCGCTTCTGATGGTGAGTTTTTCTGTGTCTTAGTACCAGGGTGCGATCCTCAGGAACACCCCACTGCGAGGTAAGCAAGCCAGGGTCCATTAGCAGATAAAGCAGATAAGGATCAATTGGCATCAGGTTGGTATCAAGTGGAAGTGTAGTCAAGAAATAAGGCAAATTCAGTAACAAGTGGTAGGGAAGATACAGACAGGCAGCAGGGACAAAAGGAGTAAGATATCGACTGAAAAAATAATCTGGCAAACAGGAAGTGCAAAGGTAAGGCTTAAATATAAATCCTGTATAATAATAAATAGGAAGTTCATGGGAGGAGCAATGACATCGATTTTATGCATTTGTTTATTTAATATTTACAAGTAAAAGTTGACACGTGCATTCCTGATCAGAGCAAAAGGAACAAAAGTTTCCTTAACCTCCCTGGCGGTATTCCCGAGTGTAGCTCGGGGTAACATTTCAGTACCAAAAGTGGTAACCCCGAGCTACACTCGGGCTTACCCTGCGGCACTGCTCCGGCATGTGTTCTTCACTTACCTTACCCTGCGCTCCCACGATGTGTCCCCTGCAGCGTCCCCGGCCATCTCCTCCGGCCGATGCCGGCATCCTGCTTCTGTGTCCTGTCCCTGTGACGTCGGGACGTACGGGCGCCGGCGGCGGGAAATTTAAACATTTTAAAAAATGTCATTTTTTTTTTTTTTTACATTTTACATGGTAAAAACATTGCTGTCTCAACCAATGTCACATACATTTTGTCCCGAGTGCTTTGTCCGGCGCCCTGCCTGCATTTTGTCTGTTCTTTCTGCCTGGAAAGTGAGAAATGTCCATGGCGTCCAAAAAGTGTCCCTTTAGGTCAAAAGCGGTTTAGATCAGCTAGAGAACAGCGATAGTAAATCAGCGAAACCACTTGCAGAATTGAGTGATAATGATTCGTGGGGGAAATTCGTCATCAGACACTGAAAACGATTTTGCGACTGAGCTCAGCAATATGCGAACTTGGCGCTATATTTCACATTTCAGTGTTTTTTGGTTTGATTATATTATTGAATAAAATTTTTTATTATTTTTATGTTATTTTTATGATTATTTATTAAATTATAATTTATGATTTTGTGTTTCAAATTTTATCATACCCGGGATGTTTACTAGACTCTTGTTCGGACAGATTTCAGTGAGTTTTTCCTAAAAATTACAGCCTACAATAAAAAAAATACATATTTCCATGCAAAAAAATGGTACCGCTTTCAGCACCAAAAATCTGAAATAATCATACCGCCAGGGAGGTTAAGAAGGAAATTTATTATTTTCAAGTAAAAACAAATGCAAAACATACATACAGTATCTATGTATTACAAGTCAAGGACACAGAAAAGTTGCACATTTTAGTTTTATCTTGTTGACTAAGCTGGGTAAAAATGCACTTTGCAAAGTGAATATGCTTTATTTCTTAAATACAGTAAGTCATCTCCATGGGCCACAATTCAGCACCCAGATAAAAGCTGCATTACCCTGTTGTAAATATGACATTTATTGACAGCCAAGACAAATCTTTGTGTCATATTTTCATAATAAATTGTAAAAAAAAAAAAGTTTGACCCAGAAGCTATTTTTTTTTCTAAAAAGTTGAATGATGGAGCCTTTTGGCCATTTTCCATTGTATCAAATTTCTGTCTTTTTAGCTCTACACAATGTGGGAAAATGTTTGTGAACATCTGACCATTATATCTAATGTAAAGTATCAGCAAATATATGTGGACACCCCTACAAAGGATTATATTCCACAAACGGAATTTACCTTTACCATTATTATCATTATTATTGTTATTATCAATAGCATAATAAATATATTAATAATATCAATAATACTACTACTACTACTACTAATAATAATAATAATAATAGCAAGTATTATTATTAGTATTACTATTATTATTTAGTATAATAGGACCTGGTTTTATATATGCAGTATATGGCATCATAGCAATGAAACAGATTAGATTTTTTCTATTTTCTTTCTTAAAGCTACATTTTGTTTATTTGGTTAATTAATGTTTCTCTTCTTGGAACATACTCATCTGAGGGATCATGAATTATGAGCTGTTCCCTGGGCATTTCCGCTCAGTGGAGACACATTAGATCAGGTTATTCCACATATCTTGAAGGTATATCTACACGTACAGACCTTCTTTTGGTAACTGAAGCACATTTTCTGTCACTCACAGAATATATTTTTTAACAAGGTGATGTTGTCCCTTTTATATTTTTATTTTCCACTTCTTATATTCATAAAAGGTATCACTCTGTTTTTTTTAGCTTTTGATACAGGACATGTACAGCTCTGACCAATTCCTGTAAAAAAAAGGCAAAAAACAAATCGGGTTGCCTAAAGTTTGTCTATAGATGATCATTTTAGTCCTGTGCTCAGCTGTGGCTAGACTCAGATTTTTCTACTCAGGCTGTCAGCCAGCTTCCATTTTTTTCACACCTAACAATACAACAGGCATTACTGCATAGCATAAAACTTAATAGGATCTATGCAAAAAAAGCTCAGACTTAAAAAAAATCAATTGTTCTTTATAGTGCCTGCTCACATCTGATGGTGCAAACTGGCACCACAAAGAAAAATAGATTTTCTAAGTTTGAGCAGTTTTTGGAGCTGCGAGCTTTAACCGCCTCCCGCCCGCCATATACTAATATGACGGGTACAAGGTGGTTCTCTCATTCTGGGAGGACGTCATATGACATTGTTCCATTCTTACCACGCATGCTCGGCTCCCGGAGCGTACAGTGCGGCGATCGGTGGTGCGCTGTGTCCCTCGGACACAGCGAATCATCAATCCACGGAAAGAGCCGAAGATGTCGGCTCGGCCATGTGATTAGCTGTGTCCAATCACAGCTGATCACATGTAAACAGGGAAATGCCGGTTATCTGTATTTCTCTCCTCTCGAGCTGTCACGGAGGAGAGGAGAGCCGGTAATCGGCATTCCTCGGAGGGGACATGTACACTGATCATCAGGGCACTGATCTGTGTAACCCCAGCAGCGCCACCTGTCAGTGTCCATCAGTGCCAGCTGTCAGTGCTCATCCATGCCACCTGCCAGTGCCCATGAGTGTCACATCAATGCCACATATCAGTGCCCATCTGAGCTGCCTTTCAGTATCACCCATCAGTGCCAGTCAGTGCCACCTATCAGTGCTGCCAATAAGTGCCACCTATCAGTGCCAGTCAGTGCCGCCTATCAGTGTGCATCAGTGCCGCCTATCAGTGCCCATCAGTGCTGCCTATCAGTGCCGCCTAACAGTGCCAGTCAGTGCCACCTAATAGTGCCACTCAGTGCCGCCTATCAGTGCTGTCTATCAGTGCCATATATGAGTGCTGCCTTTCAGTGCCCATCAGTGATGCCTGTCAATGCCCATAAGTGCCACCTACCAGTGCCTCCTCATCAGTGCCCATCAGTGCCATCTATCAGTGCCCATCAGTGCAGCCTATCAGTGCTCATCACTACAGCCTCATTAGCGCACATCAGTGAAGGGGAGAAAAATCACTTATTTACAAAATTGTAATTAAATTAAAGAGGTTGATTAAATAGCACCAAAAGAAAACTAGCACCTAAACTCTATCTGTTACAAAAAAAATGTTGTACAGTTTGTATGACCGCACAATTGTCATTCAAAGTGCAACAGGCTGAAAGCTGGAAATTGGCCTGGGCAGGAAGGGGGGTAGAAGTGTCCTGTAGGCAGGAAGGGGGTAGAAGTGTCCTGTAGGCAGGAAGGGGGTATAAGTGTCCTGTAGGCAGGAAGGGGGTAGAAGTGCCTGTAGGCAGGAAGGGGGTAGAAGTGTCCTGTAGGCAGGAAGGGGGGGAAGAAGTGTCCTGTAGGCAGGAAGGGGGTATAAGTGTCCTGTAGGCAGGAAGGGGGTATAAGTGTCCTGTAGGCAGGAAGGGGGTATAAGTGCCCTGTAGGCAGGAAGGGGGTAGAAGTGCCTGTAGGTAGGAAGGGGGTATAAGTGTCCTGTAGGCAGGAAGGGGGTATAAGTGTCCTGTAGGCAGGAAGGGGGTATAAGTGTCCTGTAGGCAGGAAGGGGGTATAAGTGTCCTGTAGGCAGGAAGGGGGTAGAAGTGTCCTGTAGGCAGGAAGGGGGTAGAAGTGTCCTGTAGGCAGGAAGGGGGTATAAGTGTCCTGTAGGCAGGAAGGGGGTAGAAGTGTCCTGTAGGCAGGAAGGGGGTAGAAGTGTCCTGTAGGCAGGAAGGGGGTAGAAGTGTCCTGTAGGCAGGAAGGGGGTAGAAGTGCCCTGTAGGCAGGAAGGGGGTATAAGTGCCCTGTAGGCAGGAAGGGGGTATAAAGTGTCCTGTAGGCAGGAAGGGGGTAGAAGTGTCCTGTAGGCAGGAAGGGGGTATAAGTGCCCTGTAGGCAGGAAGGGGGTATAAGTGTCCTGTAGGCAGGAAGGGGGTAGAAGTGTCCTGTAGGCAGGAAGGGGGTATAAGTGTCCTGTAGGCAGGAAGGGGGTATAAGTGTCCTGTAGGCAGGAAGGGGGTAGAAGTGTCCTGTAGGCAGGAAGGGGGTAGAAGTGTCCTGGTAGGCAGGAAGGGGGTATAAGTGTCCTGTAGGCAGGAAGGGGGTAGAAGTGTCCTGTAGGCAGGAAGGGGGTAGAAGTGCCCTGTAGGCAGGAAGGGGGTAGAAGTGTCCTGTAGGCAGGAAGGGGGTAGAAGTGCCCTGTAGGCAGGAAGGGGGTATAAGTGCCCTGTAGGCAGGAAGGGGGTATAAGTGTCCTGTAGGCAGGAAGGGGGTAGAAGTGTCCTGTAGGCAGGAAGGGGAGGTATAAGTGCCCTGTAGGCAGGAAGGGGGTATAAGTGTCCTGTAGGCAGGAAGGGGGTAGAAGTGTCCTGTAGGCAGGAAGGGGGTATAAGTGTCCTGTAGGCAGGAAGGGGGTATAAGTGTCCTGTAGGCAGGAAGGGGGTAGAAGTGTCCTGTAGGCAGGAAGGGGGTAGAAGTGTCCTGTAGGCAAGAAGGGGGTAGAAGTGTGCCCTGTAGGCAGGAAGGGGGTATAAGTGTCCTGTAGGCAGGAAGGGGGTATAAGTGCCCTGTAGGCAGGAAGGGGGGGTATAAGTGTCCTGTAGGCAGGAAGGGGGTATAAGTGTCCTGTAGGCAGGAAGGGGGTAGAAGTGTCCTGTAGGCAGGAAGGGGTAGAAGTGTCCTGTAGGCAAGAAGGGGGTAGAAGTGCCCTGTAGGCAGGAAGGGGGTAGAAGTGTCCCTGTAGGCAGAAAGGGGGTAGAAGTGTCCTGTAGGCAGGAAGGGGGTAGAAGTGCCCGGTAGGCAGGAAGGGGGTAGAAGTGCCCGGTAGGCAGGAAGGGGGTAGAAGTGCCCTGTAGGCAGGAAGGGGGTAGAAGTGTCCTGTAGGCAGAAAGGGGGTATAAGTGTCCTGTAGGCAGGAATGGGGTAGAAGTGCCCGGTAGGCAGGAAGGGGGTATAAGTGTCCTGTAGGCAGGAAGGGGGGGTATAAGTGTCCTGTAGGCAGGAAGGGGGTAGAAGTGTCCTGTAGGCAGGAAGGGGGTAGAAGTGCCCTGTAGGCAGGAAGGGGGTGACAGTGCCCTGTAGGCAGGAAGGGGGTGGCAGTGCCCTGTAGGCAGGAAGGGGGTGACAGTGCCCTGTAGTGAGGGGTTAAGCTACAAAACACTCAAGTGTGAATGCAGTCTTAGTGGAGACTATTCTTGTTTTTGTTTTTTATTTTCCCAGTAATATATATTTTTATATGAAACACAATACTGTTTATACATACCAGGAAAATATGCTCGGCTTTATAAGTAGTGCATGCACCTGCATTCAAAATTGACAGATGTAATATGTAACATTTTAAACAGGAAATGTATAGTTCAACTTTTCCTATTTTAAAGTTTAGTCAAAAAACTAACTAACGCTAAGCCTTCTCTATGTCCCATTCTAAGCCTAGTTTATATATAGCCCTGTAAAGCAAAAATCATCATACTTACCTGCTCTGCAGCTGCTCCAGTCCCATGCTGCGCTGTCAATGGAGGTTTCAATGAGTAAGAGTGTGCAGGAGAGAGGCTGCCTGCAATGGAAGCCCTATAATAAGTCAATGGTAACGTCACTTACCAGGCGGTCACAGCCGTTGTCGGTTCTCTCCTGCACACAACACCTGCCCCTGGAGGGAAGACCGGAGCGGATGCAAAACAGGTGAATACAACAAATGTTGCTTTACAGGGCTAGATAGATTTGGCTCAGAATGCGGCATAGAGTAGGTTTAGTGTTAGTTTTTAACCTCCCTAGCGGTCTGATGATGTCCAGTATTTCTGTGCTCAAAGCGGTAACATTTTTTTGCGTGGAAATATGTAGTTTTTTTTATTGTCGGTCTGTAATTCTTAGGAATAACTCCCTGAAATCTCTCCGAACAAGAGTCTAGTAAACATCCCGGGGAGGATACAATTTGAAACGCAAAATCATAAATTATAATTTAATAAATAATCATAAAAAAATAATAATATAATAATAATAACATTTAATTCAATAATATAATCAAACCAAAAAACACTGAAATGTGAAATAGAGCGCCAAGTTCGCACATCGCTGAGCTCAGTCGCAGAATCGTTTTCAGTGTCTGATGAGGAATTTCCCCCACCAATCATTATCACTCAATTCTGCAAGTGGTTCTGATTTACTATCGCTGTTCTCTAGCCGGTCTAAAACCGCGTCTGACCTAAAGGGACGCTTTTTGGACGCCATGGACGTTTCTCAGTTTCCAGGCAGAAACAGTAAAAATGCAGGCAGGGCGCCGGACAAAGCACTCGGGACAAAATGTATGTGAAATGGTTTGATCAGGGGCAGACTGACAACTCATGGGGCCCCCGGGCAATATGGGATCATGGGGCCCCTGTGTCCTTGCCCAAACTCAAACAAGCCTATAAAAAAGGCACCAGGGGCATCTCATGGGGCCCCCTACTGACCCATGGCCCCCGGGCAGTGCCCGAGTTTCCAAATAGTCAGTCCGCCCCGGGTTTGATACAGTAATGTTTTTACTATGTGATTTTTAGTATATTGAGTGAATGTCACATTTTGACATTTTTGAATTTCCCGCCGTTCCGTCCCCCGGAACCCAGAAGACGGATGTCCCGGGGATGCTGCAGGGGGGACATCGCAGGATCGCAGGACAAGGTGAGTGCAGGAGAGATCCCGGAGCAACACTGCAGTGTATTCCCGAGTGTAGCTCAGGGGGGTTACAGCTTCTGCTACTGAAAGTTAACCCCAAGCTACACTCGGGAATACCACCAGGGGGGTTAACCTTTCTCAGCTACTTTTACAGGCTCCTATTCCATTCAAACCTATCCACTGTTTGCTGGGTCTACCTATGCCGGCCTCTCCAAATTTGCCTTGAAACTTTCCTCCCATGTTTTAACAGCGGCCAGGAGAACCATTCCCATGCCTTGGCTTTCTACTGCGCCTCCTACACCATCGGAATTGGTGAAGGTTATAGCAGAGATTAGAAGAATGGAGTACCTCACTGCTATGCATGCTAACTCTGTCCCCATCTTTGAGGCAGTTTGGGAACCGTGGGATCTTTCCGCTTCTGATTTGTCTACTACATTGTCAACCCCCCCCCCGAAATTTTATGTTTTGGGGGCCCTTTTGGGCAAATTTCTTTTTTTATCATTCAGGGCATCTTTCTTACATTTTCCCTTAAAAGGCACTTGAGGGCAGAAAAAATATAACTAACAGTTTTTTTAATGAAATAACCCCCAAATGTCTTTTCTGTGCTCACAACCCCAAATTTTCGTTTAATTTTAACCCCCCCCCGTGACATTCAAACTTAAATACTTTAGTACAAACATCCTTTTTCAGTTATAAAAACTTTTAAACGTGAAAACATAGCCCTTTAAAACAAGTTCCTTTTCAGCGATCTAAAGGGGATCTTCGCCCATTCTTCATGGGCAAAGGCCTCCATTCATTCCCCATACTTAGGCTTGCGCACGCAAAAACGGGATACTTTTTAAAATCCCACCAAGGTTCCCAAACCCGGTGGATTTTTAAAACGGGAAAAGCATGGGCCCCTCCCAAAAATTTTTCCCGCCCTTTTCCCCTGCAACCATGCTCAAATGGGGCCTTTTTAGGGAAACATTTGGGAAACAATTTTCCTGTTGAAAAGGGGTTTCCCCCTACCCAACCTTAGGTGTGTGACGGACCGCATCACTTTCCACCAATATCTCCTGGGACGGGGAGAATTCAAGGTACCATTGCACAACCCCCGAAGCTTCCCGTAAAACCCGCCCAAAGGGAAAACAGCCCCAAACAAGAATTTACCCCCCACCAGCTTTCCCGTAGGCCCAAAGGGGTTCTTTTCATCAAGGCCTTGTTCCCTTCCCCCTCCAAACATGCGTTGATCCATGGGGGGCCAAAAAAAGTTTTAATTTTTTTTCCCTCAGCCAAGAACACTAACCCCCAACTTTTTTGGTTTGTTTCCCCAAAGGCTTTTTTGGGATACGCAGTCGACTTTTTCTTATTTTTGGAGAAAAGCAAAAGG